CTGACAGAAGAAGTTCATGTGCTTCCGTAGGCTGCGCCAATCACTGTACCGTTTCATACATTTGAGGCACCGCAGCTCATCCTTGCACTGTCTCCAGATGTCACGCGGCAATCCGTCGCAGAAGAATCGCCGCTTGGCTGAAACACGATCAGAATCTTATGTAAGCATACTAATTAATAATAAGCGTTCGTGGAACAAAGAGAATAAGATTGGATTATAATCGTGCTGCTTCTGCTGTATCATCGACTAAACTTGATAATCCTTCCAAATCATGAACATCGACTCATTACCTCATCCATTCACACCTCATCCATTCACACCAAGAGAATTCTTCGACTGATCAAACGTAGTAAAAAGAAAAATGTCAAATACTGCATAGAACTTTAAAGATTAAAAAAAATATATGAGTAGGAAAGAGACATCGATTTGAAAAAGCTAAATTCAATCTTATGATTCTCAAAATTGTAACGCTTCTCTCTATTTAATTTTGTCTTCGATGCGTTTCATATCTCAAAACGCGACATGAAACACCCTGTACATAGCAGACAACGATAGCATGTCGCTCATCGGCATAATTTTCGAATTCAAAGAGAGAGAAGAGGAACTTGGAGAGAGATGTGTCACCTTTTCCAACACTTTGAGAGATGTATTCACAGCATTCAAGAAATTACACAAACGAACGGATTCCCTCTCTGCACATTGACTGCACATTGTCCGACGAATTTGAGATGCATATGAAGAAATTATGCTCTGAAGAACGTGGAAAGATCGAAGATATTTCCCTGAAGAGTGTAGCTCGTGGAACGTTGTATAGCAACTATGCCCAGTCGCAATTGCGAGCCAGCCGGAGACATAATAAAACAGCAGGGCGTGTGTAAATCGTATGTTTTTATTATGCATAAGTAACATTTTACAGAACAACAAAATTTTGTTATAAGTTGTACTCCCTTTGTATCGCAAGATATACATATGATCGTAACGTGTATATATATAATATATATATATATATATCTATTTTTATAACGTATCGATCAATACAAACGAACGTTCCACAAATTCAGATTCATATGCAGACGCGACGATGGTCTTACGAATGTTTTTGTATTTACCTCTTCTATCTTTTTTCTTCTTCTGTTTCTATCGCCTATTTTAATATCTAAACACGACGTATCAATTAGAATAAAATTCCCTTAAATTTTATTTTATTTAAAAGAAAATTAAAATACCAACAATTTTTAATAATAATCTTCACAGCCGAAACGCACAAATATGACCAATAATTTTCTATTCGCAGATGTACAAAAATTAAATTTAGCAGTCTCAAATAAGGTAAACATGCGTTTACCCTTTTTCGCAATTTTATTTAACAATTATACACCGCCCGAAACCCCTTAGCGAATTTGATTGGAATCGTAACGCTCGTATGTCACTGAAAAACATTTTTAAGTGCACCATTGTGTATTATCTTAGTCTAAATCCCTTCCGTTGTGCCAGTATAGTAAATAAGTAGTGAGGAAAAACTGTCCCGAGCAATTAATACGTTAAAGTACCGAGATACTCGAGTTAGAGATGTAAGAAGAATCTTACAGCCTACTTTCACGCAAAACCTGTAATAGCAGCATGTATGACGAGAAAGCTACTAACCGTCATTACGAATTGACAATGAGATTCGCGCTTCGCACTTCAAAGTTACTCAAAGCGTATTCCGTGTCAAACGCATAACACGGGAAAGCGGGCAAAACGTAACGTCAAACATCTACAGGCAGATACTAACAAACACGTGATATTCTCGCTCTAACAACACTCTGAAAAATTAATAACAAAGTATAATTGTGCACTATGCTGCAATATATTATCGATGTTCACATCACAAACACTATAAGACACTTTTCAAGAGATGAGCACATAAAACAGTTTCCAAATATTACGGCACTAATTCTCGTTTTTTTTTTCTAGCGTGTCGCTAATTTCTTCTTCCTTTACCAGCTCTTTCCAGAGTATCATTATAACGCTCAAAGATGATCGTGAACAGTCTTAAATATTACCTTACATAAACATAATTTGCAACTTAACGTGATCGAATCCAAGAGTTCAGATTTTTATAATTCGATAGAGCATCAAAAAATTTTATACACAATCATGACGGAAAAATAATGCAATATGCATTACTTATGCATTTTTTCCTATAAACTCCAATAGTGCCATTATTTTCATCCAAATCAAATTTTTGTTTAAATAATAATTGTTTAAACAAATTGTATGTGATAATTTCAATTTCAGATTCATAATGAGTGACCTCACAAACCATTACATACAAATGATTATTCAAATTGCATAAGCAGTCCTTAAAGGGTTATATTTTTCTACGAATTTAAGTACCCCTCTCTTTTCAGTATAACTGTTGTTTCTTACATAAAGTCTCCAACAAAATAGGTGACTTTTTTAGATTTTTTATCGCTGAAAACAAATTCGTAAATAAAATCGCTTTATCACGTCACGTTTTTGAGATATTTTAGCTCAAAAAATCCAAAAATGCCATTTTTAACATTTTTAATATGAATTTTCTCAAAAACTTGACGTAATAGAGCAATTTTATTTATGGATTCGTTTTCAGCGACCAGAATCTGTAAAAATCACTTGTCTCGTTCGTGATCTAGACAAAAAGTTTAAAGTTGTCGGAGTGTGATCAAATGCCATCCATTTTAATGCAAATTATAAACTTATGATGTCAAAAATACAGTAACCAACAATTATAAAATTTATGTGAAAATTTGAATTTTAAAAAATATAAATGATTTTCTTAACACTTATCAGAAAATAAGTATTAATTGTTAAACATGAATAAAATATCTTAATTTCTTAAAACTTCATTATAATTGTTAAAACTGCGCAATGTTGCATAAAATGTCAAACAATATCGAATTTAAAAAATACAAAATTACATAAAATTTAGAAACTAATCAAAACAAATATTTTATATTATCGATTATTGGTTATCTTAGTTATCTAATTTTTATTACATGATAAATGGTAATACTCAATATAAAAATAATTTTAATATACTATACAGTCAAGAATTTCATGGAATATGTTATTAATGACATATTTCATCGTATTTACTTTCAAAATAATTTTCCTTTGTCTAAGAAATTCGTATCTGTATAAATAATATGTATAAATGTATACAGAGTAAAATTTAATTAAAAACGGTAAAGATGTATGATGTTATACAACCTATACTGTTGGGCTATTTAATAACAGTCCAATCAATGATACAAAAAAATATATACAGGGTATTTCTTAAATATTGCCCACCAATCATATAGCGCTATTCCTGATAAAAAATTGAGTCGATAATACTTATCGACTCAATTTTTTATCAGGAATAGCATTATATGGTTAATGGGCGGTATTTAAGAAACACCCTGTATATATTGATATTAACAGAATTTTTGATATAAGAAGATAATGCGTGCATTTTGTATTAAAAATTGAGCAGCAATGCACACATATTCTTCATGCAGAGAAAATAAAAAAATTTTTTACTTGAAGGAAAAATATTCAAATAATTCGCACTCTTCCTTTTTAAATTAAGTCTGAACTCTTGTTCCGAACAAAAAGATATTCTTAGAAGTTTGAAAGCTAGTCTTATCGACTTTTCTTAAAAACTAACACGCTCGAGATTATCCGAACGGGATAATTTGAAGAGAAAATCCTCTGGTTAGTAATGACATGGGACGCTTAATACAATAAACCTTTCTTCATGAGGAACCTCTTCGTATTCCAAAACTGTTTGGAGAAATCACTTTTTCTTCCTAAATAGTGAAAAAATTCAATTCCTAATCGATTTTAAAGCTTATTTTGTTCTTTTTTCTCTCAAGGAACTTTTGCTTATTTTAAAGTAACGCCTTTTTTATTCGATCTCGTTTGTCCAATATATTTTTTAAACGATGATTGATCTTTCACTTTCATTTCTCTTGAGATTTGTTCTTCATAAAAAAAAAGACAGCAACTACTGATGATCATTTTGTCTCTGATTATTTATCACAATTGATCGTCTCACGTTCTTCTTCTTCTCGATTTGTGGATTTTTTGGCAAGAATAAATGTAGAAGCATTATTTCCGATGCTCGGGATACACTGCTTTCTTCGATCGCGCTTACGCAGATTGTTGCTTGGTATCGCTGGTACTTTAAATCCATCAACGGTATCGTTGGTAATTTTATCTTCCTCATGTTGTGTTTTCAGATGCCTGCTCAGGCTGCATTTTTGGGTGAAACTGCCGTTACAGAAGATGCAGGAAAACTGGGGTGGTACATCACATTCGTATTTTTTATGACGGGACAAGCTTCCTTTAGAATCGTACTTCTTGTTACAAGAATGACACTTAAATTCGCCGGTGATGTTGCGGATTTTACCGCAGACAGTTTTGCGATGGCGAACCAGGGCGTATTGGCTGGACATGCCCTTTCTGCAAATGGGGCATTTGTAGGCTTTGTAGGTTTGCGACCTGCAGTTGAAATTCTGCGTTTCAAGCACAGATGTCCGATATCTCGTTTGATCGATCGAAGGATCAACAGGCACAGACGCGGACGACAGATGCAGTGGAAGGAGACCAGTGTTGAAATGAACTGAATTGTTAGTGGTGAGATCAATTGCGACCGCAGGTGACATCGGCGGCGTCAGAAATGTAGACTTCATTTCTGAAAATCAAAATAGCGATGTTAAGGAAGATCGTGGTGGAATCGGGTTTAGGCAGAGAAGGCAAAAAAAAAAGGAAAGATAAAAGCTTTATTATGCCTTGAAAGGAAATATTTGAAGACGGACAATGGGATGAATACGAAAGATTTGAAAGGTTAAAAAAATCGCGGATTTTGACGAAAGATTAATATTGACGGTGATTAAACAAGTAGCTGTTAGTTTGTTGCAATAAATAAATTTAAGTATATTGAGTCCCGAGTGACGAAAAGTTTATCAAATCGATAATAGAAAAGGAGGTAAAAAATTGATAAGATTGATAAAAGAGAAATACATTAGAATAAGTATAAACGGTTTTCAAAAAAAGGACGATCGGATTGTCTAACAATGCTTGAAAGAAATTAAATAATAAAGATTAACGACTAAAAGAACACGCGACTTCGCAACTTCATTCGTGAATAATTGCGAATATCATGAAGGACAGCGGGAGAGAACAGAAGGAATGGTATACGTATATTCCAGTAATAATTGTTGAATACATACGTACATGTAGTAGCGATACGAAGTTCCCGGCATAGGACGGCGCCGAGAAGAAAATTAAGAATAGCGTGTGCGCCGTGATAATAATAAAGATTTTAAATGCATAAAAAATACTGCGCAAGTTTCAATAAACTATTTATAGATTACGAGAATTATAAATAATAAACATTACAAAAAATCAATAGAAAATATTCGTTTAAAATATAAAATATAATCAATAGAAAGTTTCCTTCAAAAAATTAATCTTCAATGGAAAATAACGTACATCCGCATCGAGCGAAGATTGTAGGAAAACATGGAGGCAACAAACGACTATGGCGTCTCATTGAGACTGATTTATTGTTACGTTTGCTACTATAGATAATGTGTATTTGTGGATCTAGGCACAAAGTGTTATCAGCATCTAAAACTTTATTAACGCTCTATAATCCAGCCTGTAAGAATCGGATCGCGTTGATCATGTATAAGGTATACTGTTGTAATAATGTTCTTCGTGTGATGATCTTCGGGTTTGCATAAGATCATTGCGTAGTTCGAGGTGTACACGTGTTACAAGTTTTATTTAATCTTCTAAAGGGCGCTAAAATCTTCGGCGATAGGCTATAAATAATTTTCGCGGGAAGACACGGGAGGTGGTACAGTCATTAAACAAGCGTGTCCACTTGAGTCATTCTTCACAGAGATGTCGTAGCGAATTCTACCCAGAATAGTCGCGCATTCTATGCGTTCTACTACAAATGGATCTTCAATAACGGGACGGCAAACTCTTCACTTGATGATCTTCCGGACACATTGCTTCCTCGGGGGTTGATAAAAGTTGTGGTTCTGCATAAGATGACGGCGCAGACTGACGTTCTGCGTAAAACTGCGTCCGCATAGGTCACAGGCAAAGTTCCTGCGACCGCCGCACTCGTACTTCAAATGCTTCGACAGACTCGGTTTGACCTTGTAACCCCGGCCACACTGGGGACACTTGAGGGTGAGATCCTCATCCTTCAGGTAATTCGCATGTCGCGACTTTCGGGGCGGTCCCGGCTCAATGGTCGTCCAGACTATACCTGGAAGAAGACGAAGATGACAGTGGTGTTAGTCGTGAATTCACCTTGCTGACCGAGATCGTTAGACGCGAGTCTTAACGATCGAGACCTGATCCGCGCTAACCCGCTAGATCACGTTTCGACTTCTCGAGAAGAGACACGAAAAGGAGTTCGGCGTGGTCGTCAAAAATTCGCGGCTCATAAAACCATTCGATCGATCGGCAATCGACGGAACAACTCGATTGCATATTTAAAACGACGACTAGCCGCTCAATCTACCTTCAACTATTAACATCCATCAGGGAAGGGAAAGGAAGGACTAAACGAAGAATTATTTCAAACTGAAACGAGATCGCTCACATATCTCTCTAATTTCTTAGGGGCCATGATCCAGGATGGATTACAATGATAAACAGTCTACATAAGATTAGATGCTATCTCATTGACGAAGTCGATTTTATGGACTCCCTTCAAGTGCCGTTCAAGGCTCGTTTTCTGAGTGAAACTTTTGTAGCAGTAGCCGCACGGGAAATAGCGTTTCCCGCCGCACTCCCATCTCGTATGTCTGCGCAGATTGCAGAGCATCGTGTAGCCGCGTCCACATTTTCGACAGGCGAAGCGGCTCAAGCGGGACCTCGAGAAACCTGCTAAACGAAAGAAAATATTACTCTGAGAATGCATCCGTGTGCGTGTGATACATTGACGAGCGATCGAGTTTTGGCAAAGTGAAATTCTAGATTGACGCGAATGCGGGAGATCAATGACGACATTATGTTTCTCATAAAAACATCTTAAGACATCAACAAAGATAAATTTAAACACGATATCAATTGATTCCTCGTCGTAGCGTTTTCTGGGCCGTCTGGTAACATCAGCATGCAAAAACTTAAAGCGAAAATATTTTATCAATGGCAAATCGCTTGAAATCATCTTATATACTTTCATTCTTACTACATGAACAAATCTCGAAATATCGATTCATTCATCGTAGGAACAATGTCAGAAACATTAATTCGTTCTTCGTACAAGCATTTGTCATAGATAAAACTCTTCTGAAAAGTTCGTACTCTATGCATATAAATAACGAAACAAATTCTAAAAAAGTAATATAACGTATTAGAAAAAACATACTAATATTATGTGTTATAAATCTGGTCTTATCAAACTGAAACGTGACAACATATATTACAACATAATTTATTATGTGCAACTTATAAAGATCAAGATTTTATTAACTTTGGTAACTATGCGAAACTAGAGGCTAGTAATGCCCGAAAGGCTTATACAAAACATTCTTCATGTTGTTTTTCACGTGCAAGTTTCGGAGTTTAAAGTCTAGTCTATCTTCATTCGACGATTCTGGAATCTTTGGCACAAGTCTTCCAATTCTCGATTTTCAGTCTTCAACGTCATCTTCCAATGAAACTATCTTGCTCGTCGTTCTTATTGATAGATGATTTGATCGTACATCTTCCTCGGGTTGTTGTATCTCTTCTTTACGGGCACCACAACGTTGTGATGATGCGTCAGATGCCTACGCAGACTGACGTTTTGCGTGTACTTGTTCGGACACAGATGGCAGGAGAATCTTCGTTGACCGCCGCATTCAAAGCGCACGTGTCTTGCCAAGTTGTGCTTTAGCGAGTACCTCTTCCCGCAAGCGGAACATTGGAGAGCCAGATCTTCTTCGTTACCGGAATTCCTCGCATTCGTTCTAACTGTGGCAATCTTCGTCGTCGCAACGTGAGCTTTTCGTTCGTAGACCGCGGGATTGTCTGGGGGATGGAAGCTCTCGTAAAAACCTGAAAAAATAACGTTCATACCCTGATTAGTATATAGAATCGTAAAACGAAAATCGCACACTGATCTTCTCCTTGTTTTATGTGATTTATGGAGCCCAGTGGATGACCATGGAACAATCTGGTACATCGTATTAACCTCAAATACAGATACTTTGCCTTGAAGAAATATATCTCACGCTATTTACCATTAATAAGATATACTTACATAATTGTTACATTTTATTCTAAGGATGTGGGCCATAATTTCTAACTTCGTATAATTACTTTACCTATAATTATTTCCTTTGGAAAAACATATAACATAACAATAAATAGACATAAACATACATAGCAAAATAAAATTCTTGAAATAATTCAATTTAATTTTTCCATAAAAGAAGTCATAATTTATGTATTTAAATGCAAGACAAATGTGTTTTAAAATTTAAATTATACTTCTGTTTTGGAAAAATTAGCCATAAATTCTTTCAGGAAGATAATCGTACCACTTTTGACATATATCTTTTTAGAATGTTTAGTATAATTTAAAAATAAAATGAGAAATATTTAAAAAAAATTGTGCGCAAAAAGAAATCTGAGATCCTATACTTAAAACTGAAGTACGCAGAATATTTTTAAATTTTCGCAAAAAAGAACTAATAAATTTTTCACATATTATGTGTAATTCTTCAAACTATATATTCAAACAAGTTTTATTTGTCAAAATTCGTTAGGGTTCTGTATTTTGAAAAAAATAAAACCGATGTAATAACCTAGAAAATACAGATCAAGGGGTTATTAAAAAAAAATAATCATGCTGCTGATGCATCAACCTGTTACAAAAATAAAACTTGCTAATATAGCGCCGTTGATCGGCTACGTCAATGATATCAATAATTTTCTACAACTATTATGTTTCTGTTTCACACCATGCGTCGAGCTTCACAAAAAATTCAGTTCGTCGCATTTTATTAATTTCTAATCATCGTAGCTGAGATAACGTTTTTTTATTCGAGGATAAAGGAAATTAAGGGTTAGCAAATTATTTGTATTGGGCAACAATACCCGTTTATTATTAAATCAAGATGACTAATTGTTCGCCGATATAGATCCGAACATAATTTCCGAAAGTAAATTTTTCTTTCGAAAATGTAATGGGGGCACAAAAATATTATGGGTATTCAGCATATGTTGTCGCAATTTGCCGTTTTGGGTATATCTAGAGGGACAAAGCGAACATGCGAAGTGTTTCTGCCCGCCACATTCGAATCTCAGATGTTTCACTAAATTGTGTCTTGATTGATACGTTCTGCCACATTGATGACAATTGAAGACTACATTGTTCTTGGAGGTTTCATCTACGAAGCTTCGTGTGACAACTGACGGCAACTCTGTAAAAGAGGAATAATCGGTTAGTGTATCAAGCGCGACAAGTACAAGTTTCTCGAGTTAACACCAATAACACGTATTTTCCGACTGCAAACCTGATGCCTGAATTTTCTTTCCTTCAAGCTGGGAAGAGAATAAGGGATAAATCGTATACGATCGTCTATTAAAAATTTATTATAAATGAGATATATATATTGCATTTCTTGAAACAAATTTTTCCATCAACTCAATTAATCAAGATATTATTATACATTTCATCTTTGTTTTCAGAATCGTATGAATTATTTATTTCATTTCGGCAATTCATGTATTGTTAAACTGGAATATATTACATATTACAAGTTCAATATTTTGTAATACGTGAATGCTCTACTGATGAGGCAGTTAATCATTCTTTGGTCTTCAAAATTTGCGTCTTTGCACATAAATTATGATAATAAATATGTACATATAAAATTAAGCAGTAAAATAATTAAAATAAAATAAGATAAAAAAGATAAGACAAAATAAGATAAGATCGGTTATAAGAAATATTTAGATAAAAAATTTATACGAAAACAATTTACAGAAATGTTCATCAACTTCAAACTATTATACAGGGATGGTAACGCGTTACTTGCAACACTATTACCGTAACTTTTTTGTAATAGCGATTCAATAATAATGTTACAATTTTTCATAATGGTAACGTCAGAATAATGATGTCAGAATTGAGAAAATCATTTTTGAAACTCGTTATTCACTGAAAAAGATAACTCATTACTTTAGTCATATATAACGAGCATCGAGTAAAGTAACGAGTTATCTTTTTTAATGAGTAACGATAATGTTATTTTTCAAAAGTGACTCTTCCTGGCGTTATCGTTACCGTTATAAAAACAATGTAACGTCATTACCAAATCGTTACTATAAAAAAATAACGATGACACGGTAATAGCGTTACAAGTAACGCATTACTCTCA